CCTCAAATTCATCACCTTGCACTAACAGTTATTGAAGAATTCCGTTGCGTAGTTGTTGAATTATTTTATTAAAGATGCTATATTGATGGTTCATCCGATGTTTTACTAAAAGTGTTATATATCCACGATAAATGCAATGAATTTTGTTAGAAGAATTTGTGACGTCCCGATTCATTTATATGATTGAAATTCTATAACTCTGATTTTATTTTATATAATTTGTCAGAATAGAATTGGAGTGTTACACTATCTAACGTGTCTATTGAACTTGATTGCAAGCAAGAGGTCGACGACATCGTTAGAAGTGTCAAAAAACCAACACCATTTTTGGCGCTATCATGGAGATTTGTAAAGTTTCTCTTAATATCTATCAAACTTTAGGATAAGTTTAATTAAGAGAGAAGCAAACAATGTTGTCCACATGTTAGCACGGGCGTCATTTTCTTTCACTAGCTTTCAAAAATCATGATCTTATGTCATTTTGTATTGAGACCGATAATCATTAATAAATAATAAAATGAGCTAAATGTGTTGGCCTATAAATACTTTAATATTCACTTTTGAACCTCATAAATTATTTTTTTCAATAAAAGTCCTTCTAAAATTTTCCTTTCCTAATTTTAGTTTCTATGTAGAAATTATTTAATAAAAAGATATTGATTGTGTGATGAATGCAATTAAAAAAAAGTTACCACAATATATAGCAAATTGCATGAACAAATAATAATTAGCTCTCATTCCTAACTTAACATTGAACCAGAAGCTAGTGTGCAAATATTTTCCAACCTTTTCCATTCTCCTCCCTCTTTGGTCTCCATGAATTTTGCAGCAACCATGAACATTGATGTTCCATTGCACCTTTTCCGGTGATTAGAATCATGCATGGTAAAAACCAATAAATTAACTAATAAAAAATAAAAAATGAATAGAGATATACAACAATACCCAGTCTCATCTTCATCACATTTCCACCAACGTTTTCCAAAATCATTCTCTCTTCGTAGAAAAGTGCCATGGTGGTACCAAATACAACATCCACGTTCACCTTTCCTTGCAAAATGGAACGTAATATTCCTCTATTCTTGCCTCTTTGCTCTCTTTCTAGACCCTCTTTATTTCTATATTCCCGTCACCGGAGACAAAGCATGTTTGCAAACAGATTTAGTCCTCGGCGTTTTCGTCACGCTATTGCGTACCGTCGCTGATCTCTTCTTCTTCTTTCATATAATTCTTAAGTTTCGCACCGCCTTCAATTCTCCTACCTCTCACGTATATGGCCGCAAAGAGCTTATCACCGATCCTGGCATGATTACTCGTCGATACCTCAGGCATGATTTCATCATTGATCTTCTTGCCTGCCTTCCCTTGCCTCAGGTTAGTTGGTGAATATTTTATTAGAATTTGTAGATAAACTTTATAGATATTTTTATTTAGGGTTTGGTTTGTTTTGTTTTGTTACTTGAGTCTCAAGTAATCCATATACCTTGTATTCATTCAATAGATGGTTAAGCCAGATTTTATATTTTACTCTTGTATTGTAAATTAATCTATAGTTAACTATAACAATGAAGTAAGATCAATATGCAATGTAACATAATAACCTCTAACAACATTTAGTTGTAACATTTGAATATGTGATGCTTCAATTTCAGATAGTTATTTGGATTGTGATTCCGGCGACAAAAAACTCGACCGCGGCTCATTCAAACCACACACTGTCCCTAATAGTTCTAATTCAGTACATTCCAAGACTGTTTCAGATTTTTCCTTTACAACGCAGAATCTTGAAGACTAGTGGGCTTATAGCGAAAACTGCGTTGGCAGGTGCATTGTACAATCTCGGTTTCTACATGCTCGCCAGCCATGTAATTAATAAACATTTTCAAAATTAACAATAGAAATCAAACATATAATGTTTTGATAAAAGTTAACTTGTGTGTTAAGTTATGTGTTGTGTTTGTCAGTGCAGGTTTTAGGAGCAACGTGGTATGTGACGTCGATTCAGAGACAATACCAATGTTGGAGAATAATGTGCAAGAAGGAAATGAATAGAACACATTCACCTTCTTGTAATCCTTCTTTTCTTGATTGTAATACTCTTAATAACCGCGAACGACAAGTTTGGTTTAGACGCACGAGAGTCCTCTCGGCTTGCGATGCACTCAATGATAGAAACCATTTTCAGTTTGGAATGTTTGCTGATGCTTTTACTGATCATGTCTCTTCATCGAGATTCGTTCAAAAATATTTTTATTGCCTCTGGTGGGGTTTGAAAAATCTCAGGTTCGATGTCATAACTTAGAGCAAATTTGCGACTTTTTCTTAACTTATTAAGCAGAAACTGCATAACTTATTCTTAAAAATGACTTTGATAATGCGCAGTTCATATGGACAAAATCTTCAAACTAGTACTTACAGCGCTGAAACATTGTTTTCAAGTTTCATATGCATAGCAGGCCTTATCCTCTTTGCACATCTCATTGGTAACATGCAGGTATTGTAAGAAAATTTGAAAAATAAACTATAGTTTCTTTATAATAAAATACTAATAATGTTTCTTGATTTGATTTTTTACATAGAATTATCTGCAATCTTCAACTGCGAGACTTGAAGAGTGGAGACTTAAGCAAAAAGATACAGAAGAATGGATGAATCATCGCCAACTTCCACCAGAGCTACAAGAACGCGTTCGTCGCTTTGTTCAGTACAAATGGCTTGCCACGAGAGGTGTTGACGAAGAAGCCATTTTGAAAGCCTTGCCTATTGATCTGCGTCGGCAGATTCAGAGGCATCTCTGTCTTGACATTGTTCGCCGAGTAAGTCTTTTGTTATTAGTTGAAATTTTTGTATACATCTTACATAGCCAATGTGAACAACTAACTTTTATAGTTAATCAATACGTCAAATTAATAGTTATCTTTTTCAGGTACCGTTTTTTGGCCAAATGGATGATCAACTTCTTGATGCTATATGCGAACGTCTAGTTTCATCCTTGAACACGAAAGATTCATATATAGCTAGAGAAGGCGATCCAGTTCGCGAGATGCTTTTTATCATCCGAGGAAGTATAGAGAGTTCTACAACAGATGGTGGTCGATCAGGATTCTTCAATTCAATCACCCTAAAACCCGGTGACTTTTGTGGCGAAGAATTGCTAACATGGGCCTTAACGCCCGATCCTAGTCTTAACCTTCCCGATTCAACAAGAACCGTTAAAACAATAACCGAAGTAGAAGCATTTGCACTCAGAGCAGACGATCTAAAATTCGTGTCGAGCCAATTTAAGCGTCTGCACAGCAAGAAACTGCAGCATGCTTTCAGATACTATTCTCATCAATGGAGAGCTTGGGGTGCGTCGTTTATACAGGCCGCTTGGAGGCGTCATCGGAAGAGAGAATTGGCAATGGAGTTAATGGAAAAAGAGAATCTGTATTACGAAAATGTTATGGAGCTAGAGGATTATGAAGGGAGTGGTGCAGGAGAGAGTTCTAATGCTAGTCATGGACAGAATTTCGGTGCTACATTTTTGGCTTCGAGATTCGCTGCAAACACGAAGAAAGGCGCGGTTAAGAAGGTTACAATAATCCCAGGTGATACTAGTTTGAAAATGCCTAAGATGTTCAAGCCAACTGAGCCTGATTTCTCAACATTTCAAGAAGATTAATTGATTATTTGTTTAAGTCTCATGAGCCAAAAACACTAATTGGTTTGTGTTTCTTAATTTGTAAGTGTATTGTATCTAACTAACTAGAATTGTACAATAGTGTATCAAAGTTATATATTACATATTAAAGAAACTTTGTAACATATCTCTGTCAAAATCATGCACATGGTAATTATAATTTATAACTAAAAACTTGTCAATTCCCTAAACATGGACATAAAATGAAATTTTCTGTTTTGTTCTTCCAAAAGTGAAGCATGTGATTAGTTTTGCGTACTTGATATGATAGTCACACCTCGCCAACTTCTATAGAGTACTACGGTATGAGTACTATGTAACTGTTTCAAGTTTTTGGAGATTCTGTATAGATTAGTCGCAGTTTAACCGTAACAAAAATAAATAAAGGTACTGTTTAACTACGACAAACATTTTGCGATAGTCTATTTAGCCAATTGTGACAAATTTTGGACCATGTACGATAATCTATCTTGCACGTCCTCAGAGACGATTTGATTCCACTGTATGTTACGTACTTCCAACTAATACGACAACACCCAACTCACATACTGCTACACAACCGCAGAGATATCACAATCCTAAAACAAACAAAAAAGTACTATGTTTTTGTGGTCAGTGGTCACCCATTTTTTTTATGTTATTATTGACTCGATAATGGTTTTCTAGCATCAACCCCACGCCCACACCACTAAACAACATTAATTTTTTCTTTTGCTCAAAGGTGAGAGAGAGAGAGAGAGAGGGAAGAAAAACAAACTATACACAAGAGACAGAGAGACCGTGTTGAATTGAGTGGTATTCCAACGTCGAAAGCAGATAGAGAGAGAATCTGCATCCAAGATACACAGCTTTCTTTTCCTCTGACAAAACAAATTTGACAGCTGTATGTACATAACCTTGTACGGTTAGTGGGGTTGGAACATTGCAATTTGCAACAACGTATGTCTTTGTTTATCTTATATTAATTCGTGTCTATGTTTCTTCAACTCCTTCTTGTGCAGAATTTTCATTTTCATTCATATTTTGGAACTTGTTTTTTGTCTTGGAAGGTGTTCTATTTCTGTGATACTTTCTATCTTCTTCAGTAAAAGACATGTAAGTTTTTCAAATTACAATATAATTATTACAACTATGTTTTTTTTCTTCCTATATTGTAGCTAGAGTTTTGTTTAATGAGTAAAATATGTGAAAGTGGATAGAACTATACAAGAACAAAACATTGATTAGAGAGTTTTGAATTTTTAGTGCGTCATAACAGTACAAGCCACTATTTAATTAATTTTAAAAAAACTCACCTAACTCAATCTTATTTAAAATAATGGAAAAAAAAATCAAATATTTATTATGTATTGAATGTCAACGATTTATTGTATATTCTTGTTGTGATTACTTATGGATTATTATTAGAATGTTGCTTTTCTTTTTTCTTTTTTTATTCGTGATGAATGAGGATATAAATTATAAGGTAGTGTCTCTAAGTGGTAAGTTTGGTTGCAGAATTAACAAGGTTTCAATTCAAGGCTGTCGTTTATAGGAGAAGGAAGGTGTTTAGAATGGGTGCGGTTTGTTGGCCATATTTTGATCCTGAGTATGAGAATTTCAGCGATAGAATCAACCCTCCAAGGTTCACTTTTACTATCTTTTCTTTGAATTGTGTTTTTGTTTTTGAAGGCAAAGTTAATAGATTTTTTTTGTAAAGCTTTTGCTTGATTATGGAGAGTATTATTTTTTGTTCCTCTAATAGGGGTGATGAATGTTATCCACTAATTTACATATCCAAAAATAATGTTATCCACTAATTTGTGTCATCCCAACCAATCATTTATCAATCAAGTAATCCACTTAACAACATAATTATTAATTGATGGGATTCAATCTATCTATTTATAAATTGAATTCTAATTCGTTCTTTTTTAAATAAAAAATCTAATAGATTTTCCTAATAATTATATATTTTTTAATAAAAATTAATATATGTAAAGTAGTTTTTTATTAAATTAGTTAAAAAATTAAATGTTTTTTAGTGAAGTTAAAATACAAATTAAATATTTATTTAGTAAAGAAAATTGTGAAGATCATACTAAATAAATTTAATAATTTTTATGTTTAATGAGTTTATTTATTTAGTTAAAAATAGATGTTTAATTTTTTATTTTAATTTTTTTGAATGTTGCGTTCTATAAAAAATTTAGCCAAAAATTAAAAATTTGATGAACACTATATTGAAATTTTAACAATAAATTTAATATATTAAATAAAAGAATGATTTCTTAGAGATTAATTACTCACCGTCAATATAAAAAGTTTTATGCATCGCAATTATTTATATGTACTATTTTAATATGCCATTTTATGAGTGGTTAAAATAAAAAGTAAATATTAACATAAGTTTAACTGCTATTATTAATGGATGTTATAAAAAAATTATATTGTTTTTATTTACATACTAGAATTTAATTTAACTTATTTTGTAACACTTACTTGTAATTTAATTTGTATAGTGTTTATTTTTGGTTCTTAAATTTTGGAATAATTTTATCGAACATGGGATTAGGATTTGAAGATGGTAAAATTTTGATTTTTTTAAACTGAAATTAGAATTTTTTTTGTTTTTAATTTGCACTTTTCAGGGTATCAGTGGACAATGTTAGTTGCCATAACTGTACATTAATCAAGGTATTATTTCTCAAAACCCAAACATTTTTCTAATTTTGTAGGTTTTTCACAAATTATATTCAATTTTCAAACTTATAGGTTCAATGATCATCCTTTTTCAAGGATTGCGAAAGAATTAGTATATGCAATTTTCTACTGATGCATTTTAATAGTATTTCTTAAAAAATGCAGTTTGATAGTGTTAACAAACCTGGAATTCTGCTGGAAGTTGTGCAAATTTTGACAGACCTTGACTTTATAATTACCAAAGCTTACATATCTTCTGATGGGGGATGGTTCATGGATGGTATGTTTGTCATTAATTCAACTTTCAATCCAAATGAATTAACTACTAAGATATGCGTATGCAGTGTAGCACCGACACTTCTGGAAGAAAAAAAGTGTGTTAGAGTCTCTGTCCAACACTTACAATGACATTTATGATTACGTTTAATTTATTCTTTTTTTTCAAATTATTACCGGTGTTGGTGTCGGGTTTTGATGTCGTGTTTCTCGTGCTTCATAATGTGTATGATATTAGTTTAGTTACGAGTATCAAGTAATTCCTATTCGTCTTGAGTATGACTAGTAACGCGGTACGATTCAGGGGTAGTATCTTACTTGTTCACTGAATGATATACAGTCTTTCATGTCACGGATCAGCATGGAAAAAAGATAACAGATGACAAAACCATTGACCTCATTGAAAAGGTATATATATATATATCTGATATATTCTTATATTAAGATATGGTTTCTATTTAGCCACCATGTGACAGACTCAAAATCAATTTTCCAAGGGAATAATTGCTATCTGTTAACAGTTTTTCATACAATAGGCTCTAGGACCGAAAAGCCAGAGTAAAGAAGGAGTGAAAAATTGGGCAGGAAAACGCGTCGGGGTGCATTCTGTTGGTGATCATATAGCCATTGAGCTAATCGGGAGAGACCGCCCCGGTCTTTTGTCTGAGATATCAGCTGTCCTTGCCAGCCTCCATTTTAACGTGGTTGTAGCTGAAGTTTGGACTCATAACCGAAGAATAGCTTGTGTCCTTTATGTCAATGACGGTACGAGACAAGCTGTGGATGATCCTAAAAGATTGTCTCTTGTGGAGGAGCAGCTCAATAACATCTTACGCGGATGTGAGGACAGTGATAAAGTTTCTAGTAGAACTAGTCTCTCCATGAGTTTCACACATATCGATAGGCGGCTCCATCAAATGCTGTTTGCTGATCGAGATTATGAAAGCTTTGGAGTAACGACGACAGACAGTGAATGTTCTCCCTCTTTCCGGCCTAAAATAGCGATAGAATGTTGCAAGGAAAAAGGTTACTCAGTGGTTAGTGTCAGGTGCAAAGATCGCGCAAAACTCATGTTTGACATTGTTTGCACTCTTACTGATATGCAATATGTTGTTTCCCACGCCACTATCTCATCAGACGTCCCTTACGCGTCCCAGGTACACCACATTAATACACATTTTTGCATCTTCAGGAAATTAGAAGCATGAAGACATGAGAAACGTGGACTAAAACTGTTGATCTTTTATCTTCAGGAATACTTTATTCGGCACATGGACGGATGCACGCTTGATACAGAAGGAGAGAAAGAAAGGGTCATCAAATGCCTTGAAGCTGCTATTCAAAGAAGAGTGAGCGAGGTAACTTACCGATTTAATTGATTTCCACTAGCGACTCTTCCGCATTATGTTAAAGAACTTGATTTTTTTTGTTCTAAAGTTTTCTCGGGTAATCTTTGTTCACAGGGTGTGAGCCTTGAATTGTGTGCAAAGGATAGAGTGGGATTGCTGTCTGAAGTAACAAGGATTCTAAGAGAGAATGGCCTAACAGTTTGTAGGGCTGGTATATCAACTAGAGGGGAAGAAGCACTTAATGTCTTCTATGTGAGGGATGCATCAGGGAACTCAGTGGACATGAAAACTATAGAAGCACTTCGTAAAGAAATAGGCAAGACAATGATGGTAGATGTTAAGAAGGTACCAGCATATTACAAAGAACCAGAGACAAAAGGATGGGCTAAAACTAGCTTCTTCTTTGGTAACTTGTTGGAAAGGTTCTTGGCTTAACAATCATGCATTTAGGTTTGGTTGTTTTATTAATAAGGAGACATCATGATGTATAGAAGAATAAATCTGCTTGTCTCAAACATACGCAGTGCTTGGACTTTGGCACCTTTTCATATCAGAATAATGCTTGTAACTTATATTTCTCCTTCTATATCTTTATAATTTTATAGTCATATTCTGCTGGAATAATATAGCAAGTGTGAGTAAGTGGGGAAATAGTCATACATTGGATAGGAATGTGGAGACTTAAGCATATATAAGTGGGAGAACCCACTCACCTATCACCTTAAGATTTTAGGTGGATAAGTGATGTGTCTTTCACAAAGGTGTCTAGTCCTACACTATGTATCAATGCTCTTAGTATCTCCCCCCAACATGTTCCTGTAATTGCATTATTATTTTGTACCGGAGAAAGTGAAATTAGTTAGTTTCGTTTCGCGGTAAACAAAATTGATTTTGACATAATTGAGTTTGGTAGAATTTATTCATGTTTGGATACATTTATGTAAAGTGAGTTGAATAACAAATTTCAGTATAAAAATTACGTTTAAACTCAGAAGCTACAAATTCTAGTTTCAGGTAGAATCAATTCTACTTTAGAAGAACAAAACACCTCAAAATGACTTCAGAATCAATTCTACACTTCTAAAATTGCTTTTGCCTATTCCATAAGTCAAACTAACCATGCTATTAGGCATCTTGGGATATGCGTGTCCAGGAGTCCAATATATGTTCAACATTTATACTACACATGTAGGATGGTTGCGACCAGTGTCACCAATAATAAAAAGAGATTGAGAGACATATAATATGATGTTTGACACATGGTTGTCAAGATCTAGAGTAAGATCGTGAAATCTTAAGATCTTACGAGTTTCATTAGGGTATCCGCGGTGGATCGCAACTGAGATCTCTAGAGATGGCGAAGAGGTTAGAGGGTTGTGCAAGATTGTAAGATCATGAAAGCGTAGATCTAATGCAATCCGCTTCGTTCTACTTCGACCCAGCTCAATCCGACCCAATCCAGCTTGCTGGTGACCGTTCAACTTAAATTTCAGTCGTATTCTGCATTTATAATCAGAATCCTTTCCTTTCTCCGAGCTAATTTTTTTGGGGAACTTTAGGGTTTTTAATATGGAAAATATCAGCCATTAATTAATTCAATCATACCTTTAATTCCCTTATTCAATTCCTTTTATAAATTGTCTTCATTTCTTATTCATCTCTCATCAATCTCACGATTTAATCTCTTCTTTATTCTATAACTCCTACCACACTTTTTTCAATATCTTCCATTTCAGTTCATGCTTCCTCATCTGCACCACCAAAACCTAAAAAAAATGTTTCTCGAAGTAGAACTGACATGACATTGTTGAATTAGTTTATGTTATGTTAAATTTTAGTTTATGTTTATTATCTTCAAAGGATGTTTCATGTTTATGTATTTGAATGTTTTATTGATTTTGGATAAATTATTTATCTTGGAAGTTAAATTTTGGAATTTTAGAATTATGATATTGTTGTTTTTTTTTTTTAGTTATTTTGTTGATTTTGTGGATCTTACGATCTGATTTACGATCTTATGATTCACGTTTTTTTCATGCCCCAACGATCTTGAGTGAAATTCTGATTTTGACAACCATGGTTTGACATTGTAGGATCTAGTAGATCGGGATAAACTAGTGATGTTCATAATGGTCTAAGTAGGAGAACTTAATTTGACACTTCTCAAATTAATCATAACACCCCTATAGCTTAGACGACTTGAGCAAAATATCATTTGAAGAAAATA